TTAATTTTTTAAAGTTTTAATTAAATTTCTTTTTTTTTTTTTTAGAGAGGTTTTTCTTTTTTTTTTTTCCCTATAGGGCGTGTGCGCTTGCCAGACAGACAGAGAGAGACATAGAAACCGAAAGTGAGAAATCACCCTCCAGGGGGGATGGTCATGCCGCAATCCCTTCTCCTCCATTCTCCTCTCGGGATCTTGGGCACGCACGCACACATGCCCGGCATGAGTTTTAAGCCACAGGGTTTGGGACGCGAACCGCAGTCTACTACGTGGGAGTCCAGCGACATAGCCATTACGCTAACGGCTGGTTCCCTAATTAAAAATTTTTAAGAGGTTTTTGGTTTTTTTTTGCTCTAGGTGCTCACCAGAGAGACAGGAAGCAAGAAATCACCCCACAGATGGATGGCTAAGCTGTAATCCCTTCTCCTCCTTTCTCCTCCCGGGATCTTGGGCATGCACGCACACACACACCCAGGTCCTGGACTTGATGCATGGTTGGCCATGTGGGAGTCCAGTGAGGTAACCACTGTGTCATCTGCTGGTACCAAATATTTAATATTTTTTTTTTAAAGAGACTTTTGCTTGGGGTGTTCACTTGCCAGAGAGATAGAGAGAGAAAGAGAAATCACTCTCCAAGGGGGATGGCCGCTCCACAACCCATTCTCCTTCTGGGATTTTGGGCACACACATGTGCCTGGTGTGAGTTTCAAGCCTCTGGGTTCAGGACTCGAACTGTGGTTGGCTATGTAGGAGTCCAGTTCCTTAACCACTACGTCACCCACTGGCCCCAAAGTGTTTTAAGTTGCTATGGTTAGTGGTTTTTGTTCCCCAAGTAATTCAGGATTTTCTAAGGTTATCTTTCGCTGATTTCTAGTTGAATTTCACTGTGGCCTGAGAACTTAGTCATTTTAGGCTGGAATGGGGTGTGACTTGTTTTGTGTCTCAGAATATGTCCTATGTTGGTGAAGGTCTCAGTGACACTTTTGAGTGTGTGTGTGTGTGTGTGTGTGTGTGTGTTTTATTAAGAATTACTTATTGGGGCCAGCAGATGGCACAGTGATTACATCCCTGGACTCCCACATGGTCGACTACAGTTTGAGTCCTGGACCCAGTGCGTGCAGGCCTAAGGTCCCAGAGGGAGAATGAAGGAGGACTGAGACATGGCCACCCCCACCCCCATAGGGGTGGGAGGTGACTTCTCACTCTCCCTCTCACTGTCTCTCTCTCTCTCCAGCAAGTACACACAGCCTGTGGCAAAAATCTCTTCTACAATTATTGCTTATTTATTCTTTTTAAAATTTACTATAGGACACATGCACTCACGAGAGAGCGAGAGACAGCAAGCTACCAGGTCTGGGACTTGGCCCACAGCCAGCCCTGTGGGAGCCCAGGGCCTTAACCACCATGCCACCTGCTGTCCCCTCCTTACTCATTTTCTTTCTTTTTTTTTTTAATAATTATTTTATTAAACTTTATGTATTTATTTTTAATTTGACTAGAGAGGGACAGAGTGAGAGAGAAAATGTGGGAGGAAGGAAGCAAGCCACCAGGTCCGGGACTCAAACCATAGTCGGCTATGTGGGAGTCCAGCATTCTTAACCACCATGCCACCTGCTGGCCCCGTGCTCTTTACTCATTTTCTACCTACTTGACTTGTTATAGAGACGTCAGCACTCCCCTCAGTAACTAACGATAATCGTGTCTTCACCGGTCTCCCCTCCCGATGATCAGCCTTTGACGCACAGCTCTAGGGCTATTATGCTCTGCTTGTTGATCCTTTGCCATATAAGGGCCCTCCTTATCCCTGTTAAGTATTCTGACATCTAGTCGGTCTAGACCAGCAGGCGGCATGGCAGCTAAGGTGCTGGATCGCACATGGCTGACTGAGCGGTTTGAGCCCCAGACCTAGCAGCTAGACACACACACAGGACACGTGTATACGTGTGCCCGAAATCCCAAGAGGAGAGAGGATTGCAGAGTGCCCATCCTTCCAAGGGGTGATTTCTCACTTTCCCTTTTTCTCTCTGGTGAGTACACATGCCCTATGGCAAAAATATTATATATGTAATCTTGTATACACATACATGTATACATGTGTGTATATGTGTAGTGTATATATGTGTGTATGTATATGTGTGCATATGAGTGCTGTGTGTGTGCACATGTGCGTGTCCATGTATACACACATTCATATATATGCATATATAAAGTCAGTGTAGTTCTTTTGATTGGCATTTATATAGTATATTTTCTCCTTTTTTTTTTTTTTAAGAGATTTTGGCTATAGGGCACGTATGCTTGCCAGAGAGACATACAGAAAGCGAGAAATCACCCTTGGGGGGCTTAGCCACACTGTGACTCTCCTCCGTTCTCCTCTCGGGATCTTTGGCATGCATGTGCGCACATGAGTTTTAAGCTGCCAGGTCCAGGACTTGAACCATGGTCAACTACGTGGGAGTCCAGCAATGTCAGCATTATGCTATCTGCTGGTCCCCTTACCTTGTCATTTTACTCTTATTTTTTGTATCTTTTTTTTTCTTTTTTTTTTTTTTTTTAAGTTTATTGTATGTTAGGCATGTGTAGTCACCAGAGACAGAAGGAAGGTGAGAAATCACACACATCCCTGGGCGAGGGTTGGGGGGACAGCCAAGCTGCAATCCCTTCTCCTCCGTTCTCTCTCAGAATTTTGGGCATGCACACACATACACACATGCCCAGGTTGAGCCACCGGGTCCAGGACTCGAAACACAAAGTCAGGGTGGGCAGGTGGCACAGAGGGTGAGGCGCTGGACCCGCATGGCAGAGTGCCGCTGGCGACCCGGCTCTGCTCTTACCCCTCCCGCAAGCCTGCTCGGGGTCTTAGTGGGAATGAGGTGGACGGGTTCACCTCAGTCGGGGGCAGGGGCTGGTAAGGACTAGACCAGGCCACCCGGAGCCTGAGGGGACGAGGGGAGGTTTCTGCCCAGGCCAGCCGCAGGCACTACCGGGTCACCCCTCCTCTCTCCTGCCCTGCAGGTCTCCCTGATGGGGCTGAAGCTCTCTCCTCCCGTCACTTTCCAGCTCTGCGCTGGCTCCGGCCCCGTGTTCCTCAGTGGTCAGGAGTGTTACGGTCAGTCTGACCTTGGCCATGGGGGGTGAGAGTGCCACGCCCCACACAGGGCTGGGCAGGGGTGGGAATTCTTGGAGAAAGTCCCCAAAGGTGACACGACTGGCCCTGGCCCCAGGTCCTCCCAGCCCCAGCTCCACTTTCACAGAGTAGTCGTGAGGAGTGAGTGACAGCTAGCCCCGGGGAGCTCTGGAACCCCGGCTGCCGTCAGCAGCAGCAGGCTGGTACACGCACAGCAGCCTGGCACAGGGCTGGCACCCGGCAGTCCTTCCCGGGCCTGTTCCGTCAGGGTGCCCTCCTGCCAGGCACCCGGGGCAGGTCCCATGTCCTTCAGATAGGGTCTGAATTCCTAGCTGCCTGGGTAGGGTCTGGCCTCTCCCCTGCCACCTTGCCCACCTTCAGTCCTGTCACCCACCCCTCTGTGGCGCCTTCCCAGATCTCTACCCACCGTGGCCTCCCCCAGGAAGGGTCTGGCCTTTACAGTGGTAGGCGGGTAGTGAGCGCGTCCCACTCCTGGGCTGGGAGGGACGTGTCCCCTGTCAGGAGCTCTGCCACCTGCTGCCACCCCGCCCCCTTCCCATGCCACGGCAGAAACTTCAGACCTGCTCTGGGAAGAGGAAGAAGAGGAAGAAGAGGGGGAGGAGGAGGAGGAGGAAGATGACGACGACGATGATGCAGAGGTGTCTCTGGAGGACACTCCTGTCAAACAAGTCAAAAGGCTGGCGCCCCAGAAGCAGCCAGATGTTGCTAAGGTGGGAAGAGGGTGCAGCTGCTGGGTGAGGTGGTGACCCGGCAGAGCCACCACGGGACCGGGCACGCAGCGGGGGACTGCAGAGACATGGGCATCCAGGCTGGCCCTGGGCCGCCCTAACCCTACTAATGTACTTGGTTTTGGTTTCCAGAAAAAAAAGCTGGATAAAGAGGAGGAGGAGATGAGGTAAGGCCTTCCTCTGTTAGAGCGGCCCCGAGCTCTCAGTGGAGGTGCGCGTGCTAGAAAGGACAGGGACGGGGCCAGCAAGTGGTGTGCAGGGTAAGGAGACTGCCTCCCACACAGCCGGCTGCGGTTCGAGGCTCGGACCCAGCAGCTTGAAAATCACACCAGGCACATCTATGTGCATGCCCAAGTCCCAAAAAGAGAAGGGATTGCCCATGGCCATCCCCTGGGGGGCGACTTCTCACTTTCCCTCTCTCCCTCGCTGTCTTTCCAGCACGTGTGCTAGCCCTATAGCAAGCTAAAATAAAAGACAGAGGTAGGATTCAGCTGGGTACTCCCACGCAGTGGGCACCCATGTGTGGCAGCCCAAAGGCTGGCCCAATCACCTTCTCACTCCTGACCTAACTGCTCTCAAGCTCATTTCCTCTGGAGAATCCCATCCAAAACACAAAGAATTACATGCGCTAGGAAGCTTATCCCCGTGAGGGGTTTCATTTGTTTTTAATATGCCGGAGGACATGTGTGCCAGCCAGAGAGAGGGAGGGAAGGAGAGAGAGAAAGGAAGCACCCCCCCAGGACATAGTCACACCCCAGCCCTTTCTCCATCACCCCCTTTGCGGGATTTCAGGCCCACACACGCTTGTGCGCATGCACGCTTGGCCTTTTTACAAGCTGCCACGTCTGGGACTTGAACTGCACAACCAGCCATGCGGGATCCAGCTGCCTCAAGTAGCAGACCATGGGCTAGACCAAGTATTTAAGTAAAACAGAAACTGGAAGCATTCTAAATGCCGGCCGGTTGTTGAGCAAACTGTCACGTGTTCTCCATGGAATATTGCAGACATGTTCATAAAGAATATAGCAACCTGCAAAACGATGAGTGAAACGAACAGAATAGCAAATCATTCTCATTTTACCCAATATATTTTTAGAAGTTTGACAAAAGAAAACCTGGAGTCACTAGGTGGCATGGTGGTTAAGGCACTGGATCCCATAGAGCTAACTGCATGGTTCAAAGCCCATACCTAGTGCTTTGAAAAACACACCAGGCTTGTATGTGTGCATGCCCAAAATCCCAAGAGGAGAATGAAGAAGTTACAGTATGGGCACCCCACCTAGGGGTGATTTCTCACTTTCCCTCTCTCTTTCCAGTGAGTGCATGCTCCCTATAGCCAAAAAAAAAAAAAAAAAACTAAACACGGGGTGCGGGGGGGAGGATCCTGAAAGACATTTTTTAAAAATTAAGAATTATTTATTTAATTCTATTTTGTTGTTATTTTTTAAATTTGACCAGAGAGAGAGAAAGGGAAAAGGAGAAAGCAAGCTGCCACATCCAGGACTTGAACTGCAGTTGGCCACATGGGAACCCAGCACCTTTAACCACCTTGCCACTTGCTGACCCCTTAAAAAAAAGTTTTTTTCGAGAGGTTTTTGCTATAGGACGTGTGTGCTCACCAGAAAGACAGACAGAGACAGAAAGCGAGAAATCACCCCCCAGGGGGATGGCCATGCTGCAATCCCATTCTCCTCTCGGGATCTTGGGCACGCATGCACACACACCTGGCGTGAGTTTAAGCCACCAGGTCCAGGACTCGAACTGCAGTCGGCTACATGGGAGTCCAGAGACATAGCCATTATGCCATCTGCTGGTCCTGTGGTCAGTGTTACTTCTATAATGACAGGCGCATGAGAAGAAATAGACACCTCTTAAGCAGAGCGCTGCTCCGTGGGTGAGCAGTAGGAAAGGGGTCCTGCAGCCTCCCTGCTCCCGGCTCTGGCCCCTCCATCCTGGAACTGTCCAGGCTCAGCTTTGGTGAGGGGAACCAGGAGGGCCCCAGAGCGGACCTCAAGCTGAGTGCGTGCTCTTTCCCACCTGTATCCCCATTTCTTGCCCTACCCAGACCCAGTCTTAGAGACAAGAGCCCTGTGAGAAAGGTGAGTACTGATGGCGCTGGGCCTCTGGGGGGAGGCCAGTGGTCTCGGGAGGCTGCCCAGCCCAGGCTGCAGAAGGGAATGGGAGCCCTCCCTTCTCTCCACAGACCAAGCCCACACCCAGATCGAAGAAGCCAGGACCCAAGAAATGAGCCAGGAGTGGCCCAGTCACTGCAGTGACCCAGGGGGCTCGAGAGGGTCCCCACCTGGCCTTCCATCCGAGTCTGACTGAAGTGCAGCAGTAGTGAGGGAACACAAGGGCCCCTGTCCCCAACAATCTGGCTTCAGGGGGCTCTGGAGACAGACCTCGGGGCCATAATAAAGTTTGCTTTAGCAGGTCCCGGCCTCCTCTTCCCTAGCCCGCCTCCTTGCTGGCCAGCCAGTCCAGCTGCCCGGCAGAGGGTGACCGCGAACCAGCCCACCTGCCCGAGAGCCACACACCTGCACACACCCGACCCGGTGCTGCTTTCCCACTTTCCCCAGTCCTTCTGGCACACCCCGACTTGGAGGGGAGACCTGGGCAGCAGCTCAGCCTCGTGGCCAGCCTCACCTCCTCCCCTTGCCCCTGCACTCACCAGGCTGGGTCAGGCCTGGTCCAGGGAGGTACCTGCAACCAGCAGGGCTTCCTCCCCATGCTCCCCTGGGGCAAGGCCCAGATTACAGGTGCAGAGCTCTGGTGACCCCTCTCACCTGTGCGGCTGCTGTCAAATGCAGAGCCTCGTGGCACCTCTGGCCATCTGCCCCTCCCTCCCGGGCTGGCTTCCATCACGGGCCAGTGCTCGCTCATGCAGCCCTCACTTGTGGGAGCCCAGAGGCCTGCCCCTTCCCGGTGGGGTGGGGGAGTGGACAGGACAGGGACCCAGCCCATGTGCCACCTGAGTGGGGTTCAGTCATGCTTTGAGGGGAGGCTAGTTGAGGCTGGGAAAGTGGGTGAAGGGCCCCCACATGTCTCAGAGCTCCTGCCCTCTCCCAGGCCTACAGGGTGGCACAGAGACTTGCTTGCCCCTGGGCCACCCTGCTGAGTCCCCAAGGCAGGCAGGCACACAGATGGCCCTGTGCAGGGTTCCACTGGGGACCTCTGCTGAGCTTTTTTCTTGCTCCCCTGCGACCCTGGGAGCCAGTGGGGAACTGGCTCTGCTCTCTACCCAGCACCCTCCCTGAGACCCCCAGCTGTGAGTCCCAGGAGGTCAGAGGGCAGCCACTAGGCTCTAGACTCCTCTGGAGGCCAGACAGAAGAGGGCAGGGGTGGCAGCCTTGCTGGTCCTGCCCGCACCACCCCTCGGCAGGTGAGGACGAGCTAACCTTGGCTCACTGAGTGGAGACTAATTTGCAGAGGCTGGCCAACCCCAGGGCTGGCCTTCCTGTTACTGTCAGGTGTTTCCACAGGACAGGCTGGCTGGGAGGTCTATGGTGGTCTCTGGGCAGGGGTGCCGAGCAGGAGCAGGGTGTTCTGACACAGGCCACGTGGGGGCCTGGAGGTCAGGGCCTGCATCAGCCTGAACATGCAAGCACACTGGCTGGGAGGAGGGTTGGGGAGGGTGTGGGCTACCTGAGGAGGGGCAGAAGGCTCTGCCCGGAGCAGGGGTGCAGAGGGCTAGGGCAAGCGGATGGTGTGACTACAGTACGAGAACGGTACACACCACCTTCCCCACCCTCCAGTGCCCACAGCCACACCCCGAGGTGGGTGTGACAAGCCCCCTCTCGGATCAGGGCAGCAGGGAGGTTCAACAGCTTGCCCCAAGCTCACACGGCCACTGGGAGCCGCCCTGACCCCAGAGCCTGAGCTTGGGTCAAGCTGGTCACTGGAGAATGAGGCCCATAGGAAGTCATGTCAGCTGAGAGCAGGGGGCCTCCTTGCAGGTGGCCCCTGCACCCCGGGCACGTGAGGGCCCCCCAGGATCAACTCTGAGGCAGTAGTGGGGATGAAATGGCAAAGGTGGGTCTGTCTCATCACTCAGGTGCCCTTTGCCCTTCCCTGCCCTTTTCAACAGGGAAAGGGCGGGCTGGGCCCTGGCTGGTGGTGACAAGAGATAGGTCTGCAGGGGCTCTGTTTGCACCGGCTGAGTCGTCACAAGCAGGCGTGAGACGGTGGCTGGGGGTGTTGAACTTGGCACTAGGGGGTGGCGATTAACCCCGGCAGCCAAGGCTACTCGTTTTCCCTACCACCTCCTGCAATCCTCCCAATAAACATGACGGAATCTTGCCCTTCTCCCCACCCCGGGCCGCAGGGAGGGCCCCTGCTCCCTTCGCTGTCCCTGCCGCACTTGATCCTTCCCAGGGAGCCTTTATCTCAGTTGACACAGTGGGAGTTTTGACAGCCTCAGTGACAATAGCCAGTCCCCCTCTATAGTATGGGGAGCCGAGACCAGAGACATACAGGGATTCTCCCAGGTCGCACAGCCTGGGAGGGCCAGGGAGGGGGAAGACCCAGGCTTCACACTGTCTCCCCCTCAAGGCCCACCACTGGCTTTCCCATGGGAGCAAAGAGAAACCACGCCAGAGCGCCAGGTCTGCAGATCGGAATGGGAAGGGGCCAGGACCAAAAGCCCTCTCTCCCGTGACACAGCCATGCCCAGAGCCCCTGGCACTGGCCCCCTGGCTGAGCCCCAAGGCCAAGCCTGACTGCTGGCATCTGTTACCATGGAGACCCAGCCTAGGCTGAGGGCTGCCTACTGTCCCTACCACAGGAAGCAGGTGCTAAGGTTCAAGCCCTGAACCACTTCCACTGTCCCCAGCCTTCCTCCACCCTCAGCTCCCCCATGAGACCCAAGGCCTGGGCTGCCCCTCCACAGGTCTGTGCTCTTAACCTTTAACACCCGCCTGGGAGTTGCAGAGTGGGGGGTGGGCGTGGGTCAAAAGTTTCCCAGAGAACAGAGCAGGAGCCAGCCCGAATACATCAGAGAGACGGGTCTGGAAGTTTCTACCGCAGAGGCAGAGCAAGACTTTGGGGTGTCAGTTGCACTCTCTGGGTCTCTCCTTTGCAAGGAGGAGTTTGACCAGTGACCAGTTTGGATATTCTTTGAGTTTCATTCCCGAGCCCTGGGCTCCCAGTTAGGGGAGGTCACACTTCCTGCCCCAACCGGTGAGCCCAGCCGGCGCTAGCCTGGGAGGCGGGGCGGAGCAGGGAGGCTGGACAGAGCCGCAGGTGTCCGCGTTTGAGCAGGCAGGGGTGGCAGACACTGTGTGGATTGGCGCAGATCAGCAAGGTGAGAAGGCACCTGGAGGTGAGAGGTTCGCCCTCCCTGCCCTCTCTTCCGGTAAATAAATCCGCATCGGTGTTTTCCTTCCCCTTCCCATCCGGGTACACTGAGGCCTGAGCTCTGCTTCCTTCCAATGGAGCTTCCCTCGGGGACGTCCTCCAGCACCTGCCCCTCAGCGGTCGCCACCATCGTTGTCCACCCTTCTGTAAGAAGGGAGCGGCACAGCAGCCGGCTCCCAGGGCCTCAGAGTGCGCCTTTAATTCCCAAACCCAGGAGGACACGGACATGGACATGGACGGGATCCATGCAGGATGGAGACTCGGAAGCGGGTCCCTCTGTTCGCTAGCTTGTCATCCTGAGCAAGTCGCCTGTCAGCAACATGGGGTAAGAGCTGCCAGGGTGCGAGGCAGTGTGGACTGGCCACAGGTGTGACTAGGGCCCACGGGAGGCCCCGACTCTGCTCAGTCCTCAGCGCCCCGTGACGGTGCCGAGAGGGCGAGACGGTGGCGAGCGAGGCTGGCCTCAGCCGAGAACAAGGTCACACGTGGACACACGAAGTCTGCTGCGCCCTGCTGCCTCACGCACCCCCAGCACCCTGGCACCACTGTCCCCTTTTCTCAGAAGAAACTGCAGAGCACCCGGCACTTCAGCCCAGGCCCCCAACCTGCTGCACTCCAAGTCTGCGCCTGGTCAGCTCAGCCTCGCCCCTCCTTCCCAGTGGCCAGGGGTGACAGGCAGAGCTAGCGCTCCAGCCGGGCCCACCCCTTACCCCCTGGGGGGAGACTCCTCCTTTTAAGGCCGCTTCAGGGGATTTCCAACCCAGAGCCAGGACCAGCGACCCCAGCCCCAGCTGCAGACCTGCAGCTCACCCTTGGGGAGATGGGGTGCCAAAGTTGAGGGCCAGAGAGGCTGACCCTGAGAGGAGAGGAGCCGCCTCCCCCCGCAGCCTGCCACACACTCTGCAGCCCTGCAGCCGGTCCAGCGGATCCCTGAGGGTCAGCAATAAAGCGGGCAGTGTAGGGCCAACCTCCCTTTCCCACTCCGCTCCGTCCTGCGCTTGTTCTCGGTAGGCAGCGAGAGGCTGGCAGCCCAGAGGGCGCCAGCGTGCCTGCCCCCACCAGCGTCTGCTGTGCAGCCTCACTGGCCAGGAAGGTGGACACCTCACACCTCAGTCTCCCAATTATACCCTCCTCTCCTCCTCCCTCCTCTCCTCCTCCCCCTCCTCCCTTCTCTCTCCTCTGCCCCCTGAAAACCTGTGGCTCCAGAGACCTTGGCTTCTCTGGGACTCTACCCCTGGGGACTGCCCACATCTGCTCTAGAGTTGGGGGCAGGGGGCAACCACCCCAAGAAACCCTCCAGCCATGGGAGCCGCCTGCCTGCTGCCCAGCCTCACCCTGTAAGTGTGCTGCCCCTGGGCTGGAGTTCTGGAGTTGTGTTTGTTGCCATTTGCAGCCTGGGGCAGACCTCATCCTCGGACTCTCCTGCTGGCGGGATGTGGGGGGCCTGGCTGGGGCGCCCACACCTGGGTCTGCCTGTTTTCCCACACAGGTGCTTGCAGCTCTTGGTTCTCTGCTGTCAAACTCAGGTAGGTAGCCGCCTCGCTGACTTTTCTGTGTTCTCCCTCCCTACCAATGTGGGGGTCCCCTTTCCAGAGGACAGGTAGGGCAGGTTTGGCCTCTCCCTGGGTCCAAGAAGCACTGAGGT